AAAAAAAAAGAAACATGCATGGGTATAATGTTCACAATAAGATTGATAATATGCATTCAGGTGAATTGCCATATCATGTAAACTTCAAAATTAACATGTATTGTGGTTTCCAACACATTTTAATTCTGGAATTTCATGCATCTTCAAGTGAAACAAGATATTCAAGGTGAAAACTTTTGTGGTGGGACATAATTTTATCCATCAGAAGTTAGATAGATTGTGAATTGAGAGTGTTACATACCAGAATGGAGGCAGACTGAATGTGAATGTTAAAACAATCCTTAACTATTTGGCTATTGATTAACGTTATCCAATAGGCTGCATGGCCTAAGAGACATCAGCGGAAAAGGGAAGTGGTTTCAGTGGACAGGAAAATTAATACAATTTGTTCCTGTTCTAGAGTAACATGCACTGGATGAATAGTTCCCAATAAAACCAGGAACATGCAGTAAGAAAGTAAAATGATTTTGAACTGACTTTGAATTGCACTGATTCTCAATGTGACTTTTGTCAAACAAGTGTTCAAAAGTTTAGGCAAACCTCTTGAAAGTCTCTTACTTTGACTGTGGTCTTTTAACATTAGTATGAGAGTCCTCTGGGTTGGGTGGAAAGCAAACACCACTGTTGATTTTCATTGATCTATATCCCCAAACAACATTGATTGAAAGGAGTCATCTTCATCTGTATGCCTTTCTCAGCTCAGCATGCCTTGAATCCATCTAAACACTGCTTTCATTGGCTAGTGCAGCTCCTCGAAATTAATTTCAGAGCAAGGTGACTCCCTTTAACCTTAGAAACAGGTTTTTTACAAGCACAGTTACTCACGGCTAAGGCAAATGGCTAACCAAAAGACTCATTGATCTGGACTTCTTAAACCAAAATGAATTAGCCTTTGCAATGTGAAAATCAACACATCTGCAGCTGAAGAGATGCACAGCACATAGCTTTGCCATACTACTGTTGCTCATTGTCATTTAGACACTGATCCTTACCCTCTTTTCTGTGATGAGGGGTGGAGTTGTCAGGGACCTGGATGCAGTACAGCTGCCTGGTCTGAATCCCTCCACCGCAGAGAACGCTTACATTGTTAAGCCTTCTGTCCTGCTGGCTGAGAAGAGGGGCCACTTGACAGTCCCCCCAATCTGTGCTCTTCCACACATACCTGGAGAACAAAAGCACATTCCCGCTGTGGTGAAACACACTTCTTTTGTTTTGGCCCTATAGACTCATTATATCGTGCTGGGCTCCTCTCAAAAGTTGCACTGGATAAACGGACACAGTGAGTTGCCGCTGAAAGATACTAATAGGCTTAGCTTCCTGTTTTCCGGTAGAAAACCATCTACTAATGAAAAAGCATCGACTATGCAAAGTGTTATGATGCATAAAGCTGTGGTTTTAATGAAATAACTGTCTGCTGCTATTGATCAAATACCTAATCTCACTAATTAGCTTTTTCTAATCTTTGGTATGCTTGGATGCAACAGGGGTTTAGTAAATAAATACTTGAACAAAACTCTCGAAAAATCATTTTGTAAATTAAATTTTTTTTTTACATGTACAGTAGGAATTTAATTATTATTGGGAGGCTGAAATACAAACCTAGGGCAGTTCGGAAGTAAATCTCCGATGATGTTGCAGGCTTTCTTTTCTTCAAGAGGGGTGCATTCTTTGCCTAGTCCAATAGGAGTCTGCGTTATGCTTCGAGTCCTGACCCGAAAACCAGGCGACATATCTGATGCCCTACATGTCTTTGAACATGGACTCCAAACGGACCAATCAGAGGTCTCGCAGTCTCTGGGCATAATGCACGACTGGAATGTTCCAGGACCGTTGTCAAGGGTACAAAGACTGAGAACAAGAAAACAAATAAATTAGGGATGAGATGCACAAGGAAAACATATTCAAACATTTCAATGCTGCCAAAAAAGAAGAAAGTCTCTGTCATTTAGAGTTGAAAGCACATAGTGAGAATATGTTTTATGAGATAAATGCCATCAATTGTTCCTCTATTGTTACTATTTAATAGGGCGTAATGAAGAACCTTTCTTTTTGTGTGTGTGTGTGTGTGTG